TTAAATTGAGCCTCACTCGACCTCTTGGGATTCAGGAAGCTCATAGCCCAATTCCTTATTAGAACACCCACTGCTCCCTAACCCAGTTCGTAAAGTCTTTGCTCCGTGCTGAAGCTTCATGAGAAAACCCTCCAGCTCTCCACCCAGCACCAGAGGTCATATGACATGAGCGTGCCCCTTTAGCTCTGATGCCCTGTGGCTTCTCTGGTAGGTGGTTCCACTTGTAATGTCTTCCAGGGCACTGAGAATAAACGTATTCTACAAAGATACGTATCCAACTCTTTGGCTATTAAACTACTGACAGTATGATTCACAAGGAATTGAAAATTTGCAAGGAATATCATGGTAGGGGAAAGAAAGAAGAAGAAGAAAAAAGCCTGGTGTTGTCTGGGAGGAACTTGTCACCCAGATTTCAGCTCTGACTTATGGAACTACCTTGCAAGAGCTTCTGGAGCCTACTGGAATGATGGGTCAGTGGTGGATGGCGCCACACCTCGAACCAGACTGCTTAATTATGCAGACCTCTGTACATCTGCTTAAACCTAAACTTCATAGCAGGACTCTGAAGATGTTCTTAAGGGGCAAAAGGTCACTTAATTTCAATTAGTTTCTCTTCCTGATGTGGTTATACTGAATATACCTCCTTTTTTGCTGTTTATCATTTCTATTCTCTGGAGCTTGGTATGGTTTGTCAGTACTACCAGGGCGCAGGCTTCGAATCTAGCAACTCTAGAACCACACTCAATGCCATAGCCTTCCTAAATGGATGTCCCGCATTCCTGACATCAACAACATACCTCCACTACAATTTGGGTTTTACTTTACAGCTTTACATAAAGGCTGTTCAGGGCCTCCATCAGAAAATCTGATTGCTTCGTGCTGCTGGCTCAATAGGCTTTCTGGAACCTTCATATATCTCACCATGACCCTCTACCTTTTGCATCCTGCATGCTTTGTAAAAGCAGCTCCATGTAGAAAACACTAAGTTTTGCTACTAGCTAAAAATGTAGCCTGGCCTCTTCTACCAGAAGCTGCAGAGGCATCTGAATATTTCCCTGAGTGAACCTGGGAAAATAAGGCGCTGAGGAATCCTGCTCAAGTAGGAAGCCCAGAAACTTCTCTTTGTTTGAGAATTCTCCTTAGAAATGAATTTGTACTTTTATAAGCTGAAGCATCAACAGTTGGGGTCAGGCCTTTAAGGCATCTTTCCTATTGTCCCAGTACGAACTCTCCTTAATTATACCAACGCTTTAATAACACAGACTCTACCATTATTCCATTTTCTACAACTTTCACCCAATTCACTCTTTCCCTATATATTTTAAAACATCTTTCTGCTGCATGTTTTGCTTTGAAATTTCATTAGGAATCTCACTAAACACATTGAACAATAATTAGTCATACCACAACCTGAAATGGTTATGCTGTCTCAAAACTTCTTTAGTCCACTACTTTTGAATTTCTTCACTCAGTTTTCAGGAAACAACAGAATCTGGTCAAATGCTTTGCCTCAATCTAACAAAAATGCCTTTAGTCTAGTTCCCACATGCGTCCTGTTTCGCCCTATAACCTCATTAACAGTTTTTCCTGTCTGGACTTCTACCAGAATTCTGGTCTTTCACACTACCACTAGAATGTCCCATTAGAGCAGTTTTACAGCACACTAGGGCTTCTTTCTCTAATGCACAACTTCAAATTCTTCTTCAGTTCTCCTAGAAATGATTCCAAAGGCCTATGAACCCCACAGTCTGGTTTATAGCAGCAATGATACTTTTTCAACACTGCATTCAAACACTAACAAGATAAAACTTAAGAGATTTAATTTGGCTTGTGGTTTCAGAGGGTATTGTCTATCATGGCAGGGAATAAATGGCTGAGAAAGGCTCACAGTTATAGCACTAGAGACATAAAATACAACATTATCCTCTCCATGCCTGTAAGCCCCACCTCAATGACCCTAAATCTGCCAGGCAGGCTCCACACCCAAAAGGTTCCACAACCTCTCAAAGTCACCAAGTGTTCAAAATGAGTCTGTGCAGCCATTTTACATTTAATTATAATATACTTTGATTCAGTAATTATATTGCTAGGAAATCTATTCTGTGAAAAAAAGCCAATGATGCAAAGTTTAGAAACCAACATACTTATTTGTTCATTTTTAAGTATGAACATTAAAAATCCTTATTAAGGACTGGAGAGATGGCTCAGCAGTTAAGAGCACTGTCTTCTCTTCCAGAGGTCCTGAGTTTAATTCCCAGCAACCATACGGTAGCTCACAACCATCTATACTAGAATCTGATGCCCTCTTCAGGTATACATGCAGATAGAGTACTCACATACATAAAAAAAAATAAATAAATCTTTAAAAAAAATCCTCAATGTGCCTAGAACATAATCATTTTTCAGAAAGAACACTAAATTGGCATTCTACAACCTGAAGAGTGACTTCAAATAGAATGCTTGGTTTAGATCCTTAAAACATTCCTATAGAGTAATAAAAGTGGCTATTTGACTTCTTGCACACAAAAGAGCCTGTGGTACAAGCGTGCAGTTTAAGCCCTCAGGCTAACTCTCTACGGTGGAATGATGGGGAGAGCAGTGGGCTGCAGTCTATGCTCTAACAAGGCTCCCATGATCCAGATACACAATAAATCTGAAAGCACTATTGTGTAACATGCAATCTTACAAATAATGTTTGTGACCATTAAACACTTCTGGGACAAAAAAAATAGCAGCGCAATGTCTATCATGTCTATTGCATTTTCATATTTTAGACCTCTACCCAATCAATAAACAATATTAACAAGAAGTAAATGAACTGACAGAAGGTAAGAAATGTCACTATCTCAGAGGTATTTGAGGGTGCTGTGTGTTTTGGAGAGAGACTGATGACAGAAATCACCAACATCTCACTCTTTGCTAACTTAAACATCTTTCATCTAGTATTTGCCTATACTGATAAACCTGAAAACCAACCTGACTACTTGGTCATAGCTGAGGTCAAGACCATAAATATTTAGAGTGCCTGACAGACATATATGGCACTACACCAAGAGCTGCTGGAGACACAAAACTCAAGATGTTCAAGTCTCTATCAGGAATGATTTAAATTGCTAGATGATGCCAAAATAAAGTGAAGAGAGTTCCAAAAGTTCCAAATTAAAGTACCTGTCATAAAAAATAAAAAGAAGTATGTGGGGGTTGACATCTCAGCTTGGAGGGGTATGCAGGAAAATCTAAGTCTAAAGACAGAATTTTAAAAGAAAGGTGGAAGGGACCTTATCAGTTGCTTAGAAAATGAGGCAGGGGCAAGCTATATACAGAGGAAAATTACATGTGACTGAGCTAGCCTATTCCCAGCTCACACAAACTTGTCACCTTGGACCAAGAAGCCCATCTCAAAATCACAGCTACTAATTTGTGAAATGAAACAATAAAAATGATCTTAATTACCTCAAAATTATTTACCTAGCCAGGTGGTGGTGGTGCATGCCTTTAATACCAGCATTCGGGAGGCAGAGGCAAGCAGATCTCTGTGAGTTTGAGACCTGCGTGCTTTACAGAATAATTCCAGGATATTCAGGGCTACACACAGAAAAACCAGAAAGAAAAAAAAAATTACCTGAAAGACAGCTAGTGAGGAAAAGGCTCTAATATGAAGAAACAACACAGCCCATGGTCAACAATTCAACAACTATTCTCTTACACAATCAAAACTATAGAATACTAAAGATACTTGATAATGTTTTAAGAACAATTTTCTTTCTACTATTAGCAAACGAAGCATAAATAATTGAGAGATTCAAAAATTTTGAATCGAGAGATTCAAAAAGTTGTTGCATGAGAAATGCAAACAACTCAAATTATGTATAATTTTTAAAAGATTATATACAAAAGTATCTAGTCTTGAGCAGAAATTTAATTACTTAGCAAAAGTATATTGCCATTTTTGGGGGTAGCCTCTCTGGTTAGTAGTTTATACTTAAAAACATCTTAGCAAATGAACTTCAGAATATTTACCTCAAAGTAACAAAAACTCACGTTCATGCAGAAGTGAGTACAAAGTTCAAAGCAACTTTAATTAAAATTAAATGAAAAAAACCATCCAAACATCTTAAACAAATTCTGGTGCACTATTGCATAGCTCAGGTTCAACTAGACTCTTTACATATAGGCTGGTCCTAACTGTGCAATCCCCTGGCCTTAGCCTCTTTAGTGTTAGGATGGTAAACATGCTCCACCATACCCCACTCTAAAATACAATGTTAAAAGAAAGTTCCTGCCATTTTTTTACAAAGGGAGATGCTGCTGTTCTGAAGTGGTGCTCTTACCTCACTAAGCACACAGAAGGAGGCTGCAGTTGTGGAAAATTACTTTACAGCACATATACACAGTAGCAAGCGCTACACGGTTCGTGTCTTTTCATCCAAACATCTAATTTCTGGAGTTACCTAAAGAAACAACCTGACTATGGGAATATATACATAGACATGTTCACACAATATGTTACTACTATGTAACTACACATACACACATTATATAGTATAGATAAAAAGGTAAAATTTAGCAACCTACATATTTTCATTATAGTGATTTTTATGTATCAAGTCATGGTGCCTGTTGGCAGCTCATATTTTTAATCCCAGCATTCAGGAAACTAGGTAGAGCTGTTGGTAGTTCAAGGAAAGCCTAGGCTAAAACGTGAGACTGTCTGAAAATCCAAAAGGGGAGGGGAAAAAAAAAAAAACCAAATCTAGTCATGGAATAGATATATCCATTCACAATGATGATAACAGTATGAAGAATATAAGAAAAAATTAGTATAACAAGGGAATTAAACAAAATTCAATTTCAGTCCCAAATTATCTACCTAAAACAAGCATTTGAAAAATTGTTAAAATAAAATAAAATATTATTGGTAATGAAAAGTTCTATGCACTTTTCTCAAACCCTTTTAAAAAGTAATATATCATTTTACAACCGAAGAAGCACACTTTTACCTTATCCCAGAAATCAACCAAAGCTGTAAAGTCCCATTTCTTAGAATATGCCACATTGTATTTCAGAATAGCATCCTATAGAAAAAACAGAAACAAATCTCATGACATACACATGTAAGTTTTCTTTTGCAAATTACTTCCAGTAAATTTCTTAATACAAAGCAAGCTTCGTCCTGACATTAGCTATTCCACATTAGTAGCTTTGGACAAACAGAATAAACACTAATTATTATTCACATAAGAAAAACTAGATTAGAGAGTTAAGCAACAGGAGAAAAACATAATTACCCTAAAGCATGCATTCTAAATGGGGACAATGTACTCCAACTGGACAAAAATCAGACCTTAGGGGATAAAAAAAAAAATAAAGAAATTACAATGGTTTGTGGTTGACATCATATGTTGTATGTATATATATTGTATGTATATATATTGTATTGTCTGTCTCTGTGTGCACACACATACATTTATAAGATCACTACACTTACACAGTTATATATACTTTATACATTTAAGTATTCTCACACACAAGAGACATACAGCTACTTGTAGCACTAAAATGTCATTAGGGAGTGAATAAGGGAAGAAAATGTTTAAAAGAAAAAAAATTGAAGAATACTGACTTAGAGTAAAAAATAGTACTTTCCCCCCTCACTTTCAGCTATGTGTGTGTGTGTGTGTGTGTGTACATACTTGTACATATTCGTATGTTCTTGTGGGTGAGTGTATAAGTATATGCATATCAGTGTAGAAGCCAGAGGTCCACGTTTAGTGTCTTTTTCAATTGTTCTTCACCTTATTTTTTGATACAGGGCCTTTCATTGATGCACAACACTCTGACTGACTAGACTAGCTGGCCAAAGAGCTCTAGGGATCCGCCTGTCTCCATCTCTCTAAGTACTGGAGTTAAAGATACACTCAGCTTTTTTACATGGGTCCTCACGTTTGCAAGGCAAATAGTTTACTGACTGATCCATCTCTCTAAGCCCTACTATCAACTATTTATAAACTATAAAATATTACCTTGTTAGTACAGAAAACCTATGTATAGTTTTCTCAAAACTTCCTACACAGTGGAAATATTTTACAGCCAAAGAAGTCAGCACACTATTACTTTATAACATAAATCAACTACAACTGAAAAAAAAAATCTTTGTATGGTGGTACAAAGTCTAGTAGTTCACACAGTTGACACCAATTATATATTCATGTAGAATGGCAAGTCAAACTATGCCATCTACTGGTGTAAGTTTTAACAATCCAAGTAAATAACACTATACACTGGGTTTCCAGTTAATTATGCATAAAGCAATCCATTAGTTGTGCAGAAGAAACTATTATTTATAATTAGCTCTTATATAATTTTTAAAATATCTACTCTGTTCATATCTTATATCATTAATAAATTAATAAGTAGAATTTATAAACAACTATATTGATAATTCAATTTTTTTCTAAAGGAATATATTAAGCCTGAAAACCACTGTGTTAGTTATTACCATAAAGGTTCCAAACTGCTTTATCACAAAAAACTTATAAAAAGCTTCCTAAAAAATACTTTGTCACACAATGAATAAGTATCTACATTAAAGCCTGAACCTACAAAAATTGTATTTATTTAGAATCAAGGTATAGAAGTAAAAGCTTTTATTTTTCTCTCACAAGCCATAAAGTAGCATTTTTTGTTAAGAATTAAAATGTTAAAGAATGACTTCTAATCCTTGGTAGCCTGTTTCAAAATGACACAGTAAACAGCAATGACTACAAATAAACGGCCAAATGATATATGCATATATTTAATCACAAAGGTAACTCTCAAAAATCGTCATTTAAATCAAACACTACAGCACACATATTATGAGACTCCTCTCAAGTAAATTATAAGCTGATCTATAGTGGGAAAAGGAGCAGGTTTTTTCCCCTTGAGGCCAGAGAAGAACGTAAAAGCAATTATAAAGGGGCAGGAAGAATCTTTGGGCATGAAAGAAATGGCAAGTGTCTTGACTGTGGGAGACTTCAACAGTAGATACAAATATCAAAACCCATCAAACTAAACACAAAAGATTGCTTTTATATGATTCCTCAAAGCAGAAAAACATTTTAAGCACTGCTTATTTCCTAATTCCTTCATCACATTTTATAATTAGATTAACCCAATAAAGTTATTGCATGATATCTGTGCAAGACTGGCTCAAGCCCTCTTCAGGGTACCAAAATCTGAGCATGCGCAACTCTTATACAAGTGGCCTAGTGTATGCCCATAATTAGGCACACCCCCCTTTATACTTAGGTTACTCACATTCCTAAATCAATGTAGACAATGTGTAGTTACACTTTACTGTTTAAAGAACAACTGCAAGAAAAAAGCTCAACATGTTTAATTATTGTCACAATGTTTTTTCTTTCTTTTTCTAGAGGCAGGGTCTCCTACTATAGTTGAGGATAACCTGAAAGTCATTATGCAGCCCACACTAGTCTTAAACTCACAGCAAATGGCATATCATACTTGATTGCTGGGATTGAGCCACACAGCAAGGCTGTCATGCCTGACTCGCAGAAGTTATTTTAAGCTGCTCAGATCCAAATATGAGGAATTAAGATACATGGGTATCTTCCCATTTGGAATGCTAATAAGTGGGCTGACTGGATTTATTGTCCTCTAGTATTCAAATCTCAACAGCAGTTTACCACGAGTTCTTTAGTAGGAAAGCTGGGTGTTGGTTTGTACTTAGCTATCAACTACTCAAGTTCTTTGTAGCTCACAATAATAAATATAAGGATCTTTCTGTACAAATTCTCCAGCATACTATTAACAGAAATAGTACTGATGATACTCTTTCTCTTTTAAACTCTGAATATCTGATCTTCCCAAATTTATCCCTGAATGAACAAGTAGCAGAAAGATTATAGCAATCACAAGGCTTAATATTTATTTATTTATTTCACATATCATTCATTGAACAAAGAAATTACTATAAGCTGAAATAAGGAATTCTGACAGATTACCCTGTTCTGATGATAAAAACAAAACAAAACAAACAGACAAACCAAAAAAAAAATCTTATTTGAAAGAAATAAAATGTTCAAAATACATACTTGGACACAAATCAATGTTTTTCATGAAAAGAAAATAGGAAAAAAATACCACAGAAACTGTAACAAGCTTAAAATTAGTTTGGTAAAAAAAACACGAAACCCAAGAAAGTAGCCATAACTAGTCAAGCCCCTGAAAGGAATTAACTCAATTTCCATAAAGCACAAATGGCTACGCCACTTTACATAAGTATTGTGCTTTTTGGCTAGTTAATTCTCTAAAAAAAATGCATGTTCATGCATACTGTAGACATTAGGGGGAAAAAAAATCTAATGATTACCCTATACTCTTAAGTATAAACTTAAATTATTGTTCATATGTAAGATTAATAAATAATTAAACTCCTAAGGTAATAAGAGCAATAAAAATAGAATATTTAATATATATTCTAATCATTGGCAGGCTCAGTTTCCCTTAGGCAAAAAGCGTTGCGATCATAATTCTTTCTTGATGTTAAACATATTGCAAAAGCACGATCGTTTTAAAATAAAAAAAGAGGCCTAAACTGAAGGAAATTGGACAAAGAACCAAGAAACTGAAGTCCTATTGCTGGTTCACCAAATTATTCTATATGGCTCTGGGCAAAAAATTTACAATTCTCAATTTTTCTACTCTATTACTAGTGACACTATGGAAACCAAGAATTTTTCTAAAGAGCCTTCATAAGTGACTGGAAACAAACATTGCATATGAAGATTGTTTTCACCCAGCTCTAACCTATTATGATCAAAAATGCCTTTGAGGGAGGGAAAAAAAGACCTACCTCTAAGAGATATATACATATAGGATCGAAAAGAACATACCTTCAGGTTCTGGGGTCGTGTGAATTTGTTGAGAAGTGCAGTCTGAATGAGCTCCCACCTACTCCCTGCAGTTCGCTCACCATTCTTACAGGGGGGAAAAAAAAGGCCAGATCAAAGCATTTTAAGTTGTTTTGCATCATAGACTCAAAAAGCCAAATGTGCTAAACCATGACCCAGGAACTAAAATACTTCCAGTTTAATATTTACCTCATCTTCCACAGGGTACAAGTTTTGTTCAGAACAAGGCATTTTAACATGCTTGTTATCCCACAAATCTTTATAATGTGTTGGAAAAGGTTTTGGAACATCTCCTCCTCGCAGAAGGTCTACCTAAAATACAATGTAAATAGAAAAACAGTAAGCCATAAAAATTAAGCATTCCTTCCACAAAACAATACAAATAAAGCAGCCCAAGAAAATGCTATAAAGATGGAGCCCAGCTCCCAAGAAGCCTCCCCAATCCCTCTGCAGCTGCTGCCACACCTCACCTCTAGCAATCACACATCTTGTGAATTTTTACCTGCATTCTGAGACCTTGACACCTCCTCACTGTTTGTCTAAACTTCCACTGACAGCTTCCTATCTCCCTCTTCCTAACTCCTTCAACCCCAGATCCTGACACCCTGTAAAACTCCTCTCCATATTTTGGAATAACATCATCTCTAAAAATAGCCCCAGTTTTAGAATATTTGGCTAAGCTCTTAACAAAATGCCATTCATTTTTATACAAGTCAGAAAACTTGCAAGTCCAGAAACAGAGCAAATTCCTTCATATCATAGCTATATGCTTGTATATAAACTATCTCCTCTATTGTAATAGTGAACAGCAGTTATCATCTCCTTACTTTATCGATTTAAATATGAATTCATCTTCACAGCTAGACTTTGTTTTCTTCATCACTGTGATGACTTTAGGAACTTTTAAACAGGCAGTTAATATAGTTGTTTCATAGACTACTATAATACTCAACAACCCTTGTTTTTCTTTTTGGTGTGTGTGTGTGTGTGTGTGTGTATTTGTTCACGTGTACAGATTGCATGTGAAGGTAGGTACACATGCATGTAAAAGCCAGAGGCCATAGAACAATATTAAGTGCCTTCCTCTATTGCTATCTACCTTACTTTAAAACGTTACTAATTATTTTGTGTGTGTGATATATGATATGGGCACATATGTGCCAAAGTGAGTGTAGAAATGTTGATTTTGAGATTCAAAGTCACGTTGTCAGGCTTACAGGGCAAGCACCTTTACCTGCTAAGCCAATTCACAGGCCATCCACCATAATCTTAATTTCTGAGACAGAAAGGTCTCTCGCTGAACCCAGAGCTCAGTGATTTGGCTAGATTGGCTGGCCAGTAAGCCCCAAGGATCCTCCTGTATCCACTCCCAGGCTTCCTGTTAGGATTACAGGTAAGTAGTCCCACCCAGCTTTTATTTTTTTAACATTTATTTTTGTGCATATGTCTGTGTCTATATGCCACATGCATAAGAGTGTCAGATGCTCCAGAACTGGAGTTATAAGTAGCTGTAAGCTGCCCCGTGTTGTTTCTAGGAACGAAATTGAGGTCATCTATAAGAGCAGCAAATGTTTTTACTTGCTAAGCTATCTCTCTAGCTCTCACCCGATTTTTATGTTAGTGCTGGAGATCCTCATGCTTAGGTGAAGCACTTTACACACTGTGCCATCTCCCTAGCCCCAATACAGGTTTTACCTTTCTTCACTAAAATTAAATTTCCTGAGAAATAACTATTTAAATTTTTTCACCAGAAAATTTAAGATAGAACCTGACATACACATACATGTGTATATATGTGCCAATGTAAACATACACAAAGCTATTATAATAAGCATTAAGCAAGTCTTTGATGAAAGCATAAGGTTTTCATTTTCTCTATTCTAGGTATTTCAAGTAGATGGGAGCATACAACATGCAGGTTTTTGAGTCTATCGCCTTCACTAATCAGAATGTTTTCAAGGTTCTCCCAAATGGTATCACGTATCATAGCTCAGTGCAGAAAACTGATGACATGATTTTAAGTATAATATGCTATGAATAAGAGGTATGTGGTATTAGACAGACCTGTTCTAGAAAGATTCAATCAAGTGAGCTGAGAAAGACTTCCAGAAGCATAACTGAACTCAAGGAAGAAAGAGAAGCTAACTGGGATGGAAGGACAAAAATCACATAGTATTTCTGTTCATTGTAATCTGGAGCAGCACACAAAAAGACATGTATTAGAGGCTTAGCACCCAGGGCCTGGTACTATGGAAGGTGGAGGAACCTTTGAGACCAGTCCTAGTTAGCGGAAGGAAGTGTATGACCTTTTCCTCTCTCCTCATTGCTTTCTGGCTGCCAAGAAATGAAGAAATCTCTTCCATCATGCTCTCTTGCTGTAATGTACTATGTAGCCACAGGCCAAGAGTAAAAGAAAAAAACAATCATTGTCTCCAAACCCTGAGCCAAAATAAGTCTTGCTTCCCATGAGTTTATTATCTCAAGTATTTTGTCACAGTCATAGAAATCTGACCATTAAAAAAAAAAAAAAAAAAAAAAATGGTACCAAGAAGTAGACTGTGCGGTACCTCATGATATGGTTGAGAAACTTTTGGGATTGGTTTATGGGCAGTTTGGAGAAGCAAACTAGAGAAAATTTAGAATGCTATAAACAGGGCTTAGTGGGTGATGCTGCTAGTTCAGAACACCAGAATGCTGATAGGAATGTGGACAATAAAGGCTATGTTGATGAGGTTTCAGATTATCTGAAAGTAAGGATTCTACTGTGAAGCAGACTAGAAGCCATTTGGGTGTCATTCTGGCAAATGACTTGTCTATATTTTATCCATCTTAAGTCTTTCTCTGCAGTTGAGTTTTAAAATGACAAGACTAATTTATCAAATGATAAAAAAAAGTTTTAAGGCAACAGAAAAATAAGGCTACAGCATGAGTACTGCTGGTTGCTTTTAACCAGATTTATAGTAAGACTAAAGAACAAAAAGACCTGAAAAGCTAATAGTTGGGGGGGGGGGGGAAGGCACATATAAGGTTGGGGAAAGGAAAGTATTGCTAAAATGAGTATCAGCACTAAAAAAAGGCCAAGTACATTGTACGCGGACAATAAGAAAGATACCTGAGGGGCTTATCAAAAACTGTTAGGCCTTACCCAGCTAAGATCTCACCTACCACAGGCTCAAAGATTATGAAAATAAAATATAGAAGGTTTATTTGAAAGATTTTCCAAGACAGTCAGTGGAGAAGAGAGCTGAAGTTGTTGCCTGCACAAGGTTACCAGGAAACTGTTTTCCCACATTGTCAGAGGATTCAAAGCCGCTTTAATTCAGAGGACTCCCATACAGCTCTCACCTGCAACAGACTTCAACATTGTCCATGATTTTGACTTTACATGCCATGCACCATGAAAGTTTTAGTGTCATGGTGGAGGTTTCTCCTGAGATTTCAAAGCAGAAGGTAGAAGGCCAAGCAGTATGCGACAAGATCAGAACCCCTGCAAGCTTCCTCTGACAGGTGGTGCATGAAGACAATGAAGCCGAAGCTGCAGAGAAGACCTGAGGAAACCAAAGGTGCAGGTGCGGGGGTGTGTGTGTGTCATGAGATGGAGTGTTTAGAGCTATAGAAAGCAGCGAATGAAGAGATATTGCTTTAGAGACATAGAATTTCCAGTTGGGAAGATGAAAAAGTCTAGAAATGGATATGGTTGATGGTTGTTCAATATTGTCGATACACTTACTGTCACTAAATCACATACATAAAAAATGGTTATAGTGGTAAACTTTGTTTTCTTTTCAATCTCTCTCTCTCTCTCTCTCTTTTTTTTAATTTTTATTATTTATTACAATTTATTCACTTTGTATCCTGGCTGTATTACCCTCCCTCCCCTACTCCACTGATAGCAGAGGTCCTTCTCCCCTACTATCCAACCTTAGCCTATCAGGTCTCATCAGGAATGGCTGCATTGTCTTCCTATGTGGCCTGGTAAGGCTGCACCCCTGTCCCCAAGGGGAGGTGATCAAAGAGCCAAGCCACTGAGTTTATATCAGAAACAGGCCCTGTTTCTCTTACTAGGAAACCCACTTGGACATTGAGCTGCCATGGGCTACATCTGAGCAGGGGTTCTATGTCATCTCCATGCATGATCCTTGGTTGGAGTATTGGTCTCTGCAAAGTCTCCTGGGCCCAGAATTTTTGGTTCTGCTGCTCTTCTTGTGGAGCTCCTGTCCCGTTCCCTGTCTTCTCCTGTTTCTAATGTCTATCCCGTTTGCCCTTCTGAATGAGGATTGAGCATCTTCCCTAGGGTCCTCCTTGTTTTTTTAACTTAGTATGTTTATCCTATTGTATATGTCTAATATCCACTTATAAGGAAGTATATACCATGTGTGTCTTTCTGCTTCTGAATTACCTTACTGAGAATGATCTTTTCTAGTTTCATCCATTTGCCTGCAAATTTCATGATTTCCTTGCTTTTAATTGCTGAGTAGTATTCTATTATGTAAATGTACCACAACTTCTGATCCATTCCTTAGTTGAACATCTGGATTTTTTCCACAGTCTGGCTTTGAATATTTTACCACAACTTAACAAAAAATGAACTTGTAGCTGGGCATTTCGGCACAAGCCTTTAATCTCTGCACTCAGGAGGCATAGGTAGGCAAATCTTTCTGAGTTTAAGGGCCTGGTCTACAGATCAAGTTCCAGGCAGCCAGGGCTACAGAGAGAAATCCTGTCTTGAAAAAGCAAAACAAAACAAAAGGAACACTGGTTTTAGATGTGCTGAGTCTGAATACCTGTGAGGTGGTAATGAAAAACCAGAAGGATCTAAGAAAAAAAGCAAAGATAGAGAATGTACTGACTCTTAAAACAACTTTGAACTCTTTATCTTACAAAATAACAATACCTAACATGTAGTAGGTAGTTAAAAAGTACAATTAACTGGAAAGAAAAGAAATGAAAAGAAAAACTGTTGTTCCTGGGTAAGAGGTAATAGTTACCCGAATAGTTACTGTGTGATTTGCAGATGGTCTTAAGAGAGGCAAATGGGTCCCACACCAAGGCATTTTCCTCATTTCCTCAATAGGCGTTCCCAGCCACTTCTTATCTAGAGGAAGGTTAGGCGGAACGTATTTAGGAATCTTCCTTTCTGTTCTTTGATGTCTGACTTCACATTGTTCTTTTCTAAGGTCAAGACAAATATATTCAGTCACAAACTATTTACTGTTTTTCTTAGATACATATATACAAAACTTCTGAAGAATGTTACTGTCTAAAGTGCGCCAAGCTTGTATGCTTTATAGGGAAGATTTAAAAAGCTTATATTAAAACGCCAGAGCGGGTTTCTTTCTAATAGCTTAGAGAGGAAACTTCTAAACATATAAATAACCTTTGAAAACAGAAACAAGTCACAGACCGCTGAGTCAGTAAACTTAGGATCATAAGCTACAAAACATATTTTAGAACGCTGAGCAGGGTTTAAAATTACTTACAGAATAACAGCAAAAGCACAAGGCTTATATTTAAATACACAGGAAAAGATCCTAGTTATAGGGTTTCAGTGACATTTCTAACCCAGGTCTCAGTTTTCTCATTTATAAAATACAGTATTAACTGTTTGCCTATTGGAAACAGTGTTGTATAAAAAAGCCTACATAGATGGTAAATAACAGCTACAGTTGACCAAATATTTTCATTTTCTAAAAATGTTGATAAACTCCATAAGAAAGTTCATGAAACTAAAACTGACAGCCAATACACATCAAACCTTGTTTTCTGCTTTCAGCCTTTTAGAATTTATACTTTGAAATCTAGACTTAATTTTAGGTTGGCATAAATAGTTAATAAAAATATAACTAATTTACTATAAATAATTACCTTCTTAATTCCCCCTACAAAATTAAAAAAACAATTTTCATGCTAGGGAGGGATACTCCTAATTAGGAGGTGAGAGGGTTACCTTCTGTCCTCTGACCTGGGAATTCTCATGAAATGATCTGTGATTTTAGAATCCTTTTTTCCATGCTGCTTGGAACTTCTACATTCTACATTAAAGCTAGCAGTGTTTCCAGGTGGCTTGGTGTTTAAATCACTGGTCCCAGCATTGCTCTCTCCTTCAAATTGGAAATGCAATCTAATTTCACTTCCCTTTGTCAAATACCGTTTTCTAAGATCGCTGTCAGCTTCTCTTGCTTGGCAACTTGGAAGTTTATTTGCTGTTTGGGAGGAAGTATCTTCTTGTTCATCAAAGCCTGGACTTGTTTCTTCATCTGCTTCTGAATCTTGACAACTGTTTTTCGAATTGTCTACATCCATTGGTGACTCCGGTTCACTTTCTTTCTCAAATGGAGGCGAATCACCTAGGCTACTTTCTTGTCTAGTCAATTTGTTGTCATTTTTTGGTCCAATTCCAATGTCCTCGGCACCAACATCTGATAAAGGACTCTCTGGTACCACATCCGCCTCCTCCTGTTGACAACCTGTACAGTCTTTCATGGCATGGCAAGACCTGCTACACTTACAGTAGCTTCTGGACTGCTCATCTCTCACTGTTTGCTTTGTGTTTGCAACCTTTGTAGGTGTAAGAAAATGTTGATTGTCTCTATCTTCTTCATTATCTGTGTCACTGTGGTCATCAGTTTTGGTTGACTGATCAATGTTAGCATTACTAAGCAGCTTTGGTACCTGAGTCATTGTTGGAGGCTCACTTGCCAAAAGCTGTTCTACATGCTTCCCTTCATTTTGACACTTGCGTGTACTTGCAGTCTGCTGTTGGTTCAAATACTGTGTGCTCCTTTCAGTGGGTGATTTATCAAGATTTAGCTGAGAAACATTTTCTAATTTTTCCACCTTATGTTGGAAAAAGTTATCTTTGTGCACAGAACTCATTGTGGCATCTATCCTTATGTTGTTGTTTTCTTTACTGTAAAAGAACAGAAAGAACTAAAACCAATTTATTATAAAAATTACAGTGATAAAACTATTGAACACTGTAGTGAAGAGTCTCCTCTTGTGATACCCTGAACACACAGTGGACTGTTCCACTGCCCTGCACTTGTGCACTTGCACCCAAAATGCACTTCCCATTGTGTGCCTGGTAAACACCTACCTTTCCTTCAAATCTTAAGGTTGTCGGGTGGTGGTGGCACACATCTTTAATCCTAGCACTCGGAAGGCAAAGGCAGGTGTATCTCTGTGAGTTCAAAGCCAGACTAGTCTACAGCATGAGCTCCAGGTCAGCCAGGGCTACACAGAGAGACCCTGTCTCAAAAAAAAAAACAAAAAAGCAAAACAAAACACAACAACAACAAAAACCCTTAAGGTTACCCGTCTCATACTTTCGTCCTTCAAGACTGAGGCAAAGCGGGTGACTTGTTCCCTCTGTATGCTAGTCAGCAGTCATACCTGTACTTGCTCATGGCTTCACTGATAGATTTATCTCACAAAGCAGTAATATGTTTTGTGTTTGTAACCACTACTGTACATAAGTATCTTAAAGTCAGAAAGTACTTTCTTCTCATCTCTTTATCTCACAAATAAATGAAGGTCTCTCTATATAAAAAAACTAAAATAATTATTAACTTAAAAGAGTTAAATGTTAAAAAGTTAATTAAGGTACATGGAAAAAAAAAGACAAAAAGAAATTTAAAACAAAAAAGAAGCAAGATAAAACAACCCCACCAATGTGCTATTCATTTCTCCATATAGAAATGTCTTTATACCTTTCTGATTCAGCTTTCTTGGTTCCTTTAGAGTCCATCCAGGTGGTAATAGACTTTTGTTTGAAAACTATAAAAAAAAAATTTAAAATTGAAAAGTAAATATATATACATATAAATTCTTTCAAATAGAAAACATACATAGCCTATAAACATATAAGGTCTTTGTTAAACAAAGAATAGCTACTCTTTCCAACTTCAATTATTAAAAGATAAGGCAGGCACAATGAGTATGTATAGGGTTGAAAGTGGCTCCCTAAAGAGTTTTAAGAGCACAGGCTTCAGACTCAGAACATCTGTACTGAAATCCTGCCTACTTCAGTGGCTTTCTTTGTGGCTGTGTAAAAGAACACTTTTCTCTGACTCATACTCCTCACCTACAAAGTATGTACATTACCAGCATCTTTCATGGGGTTAATGGGAAGTTTACATGATCAATAACTGATATAAGGGATTGGGACACTCTATAGTAGATGCTCAGAAAAGACTAGTCCTTAATTATTATTAAAATGGGTTTTGACATAATGAAATCTATACACCTAAAAAAGATAATCAAGAGAGCGGACATGGGGTAAGATGATCAATCCTCGTTTAGAAAGACAGAGGGGATGCGCATTGAACATTGACAGGAGTCTACTGAGCGCATTTGAAAGACTCTAACTAGCAGTGTTTTCAAAGCAAAGACTCATGACCAAACCTTTGGCAGAGTACAGGGAATCATATGAAAGAAGGGGAGTTAGTCTGATGAGGAAAGGATAGGAGCTCCACAAGGACCAAATATATCTGGGCACAGGGTCTTTTCTGAGACTGACATGCAACCAAGGACCATGTATGAATGTAACCTAGAACCTCTGCTCAGATGTAGCCTGTGGTAGCTCAGTAACCAATTGGTTTACCATAGTGAGGGGAACAAGGACTATTTCTAACAGGAACTCAATGACTGGCTCTTTGGCCTCCCCACCCCCCAAGGGAGGAGCAGTCCTGTTAGGCCACAGAGGAGAGCTTTGCAGCCAGTCCTGAAGATACCTGATAAAACAGGATCAGATGAATGGGGAGGAGGTCCCCCCTATCAGTGGACTTGGCAAGGGGCACGGTGGAGATGAGGGAGGGAGGGAGGGACTGGGAGGGAATGAGGGATCGGGACAAGGCTGGGATACAGAGTTAATAAAATGTAACTGATGAGAAAAAAATAAAATTAAAAAAAAAATCCCAAAAAAAAAATGGGTTTTGATCAGGAACTAAGGTATTTCCTGGGGGGAAAAAATTACTTTAAGAAAAGAAAGCCTAGTAATAATCAGCTAAGATTTCTTGAAAGAGGTAGTGCTAGAACTCTGCCTTGAAAACTCAGTCAGTCAGTGACCTAAAAGGACAATCGTAAGCAAGGTACCAATGGCAAAGAAATACTTAGAAAGGAATAAAAAAATATATAATTCAAAGGTCATCTAAGTACATATTATACAGAGTATCTTGAATGACCATAGAAGTACAAAAAGTACAAAAAGATCAGAAGTCACACCTAGAGCCATGATTTCAGAATTCAAAGCTCAGAAGACCATAGTCATCATGATGGATAACCTGGAGGCAAGCTGAGTGCTTACCAACAGAAACCAGTAAAAACCTACTGGTCTAGGGCAGCTCTCAACCACCTGGATCACAACAAGGCTAGCAATAAATGAATCCCAGGACCATGCCCACACCTACTAATTCACAATCTTTTCTTTTTTTTAATGTCTACAACGTTGTGTCTGCCTGTACCCCTGCACTCCAGAAGAGAGCTCCAGATCTCATTATAGATGATTGTGAGCCACCATGTGGTTGCTAGGAATTGAACTCGGGACTTCTGGAAGGGCAGACAGTGCTCTTAACCTCTGAGCCATCTCTCCAGCCCATAATTTAGAATCTTTATATATATAAATTATATTATACATATATATATATATATAATTTCAGCTCCTGCCATTTTTCAATATATTATATATATTATATATATAACATATTAGATTTAAGAATTACTAGCTGAGGCACAAAATAACTCCTTATGAGATGAGTAAAATTGAGTACAGTCATTACAGATTTCAAGCTTGAAGCTTGAAAGACCTGAATGATCATAACACTTAGCAGAAATATGGGAAATAGGAGATTTAGGTATGGGGGAAATATGGTTAGGTTGATTCTGCAGACACTAAATTTGAGATGTCAAGGAATTGACTGAATGCATATGACCAGCAACAAACATAAAAATGATTAGCTCAGTAGTGGGTGATGCAACGCAAATAAATGCAAGTCACATTTTATGACCATTAAAATATATATACTTGCAATTCTTGATATACTGGACATGAATTAAATGTGTCTATTATAGTATTAAATCTTAAACACTGTCAACTATTCTCTAAGTAGCAATATTAAGAATATTAAGGCCACACTGGTACTAGGGAAACTAGAGGCAAGGTTAGCATCCAAAACCCCTGAGGCCATGCAGACCACAAAAAACCCAGGGAGACACCTTACAGTACCTGAAGACTTGCTAGTCACCAGAACCCCAGGCCACTCAGGCTAGAAGACAGATAGAAAACAGAAACCAAGCAGAAAAAACATCCATTCAACAAATATAAACTCAGAGATCTGCATCTAAACCCATAATAACCACAAAACCCAGCTGTCTAAAAGCCAGTTTAAGAACACAATCAGGAAGACGCAGGGCAGTATGGCACCAGCAGAGCCTATCTAGTCTACTACAACAAGCTCTGGATATCCTAACACAGTTGAAGCACATAAAAATAACCTTAAATCCAATCTTATGAAGATGATAGAGGCCTTGAAAGAGGAAATTAATAAAACCCTTAAAAAATACAGGAAAATTCAATCAAATAGGTGAAGGAAATGAATAAAACTGTTCAAGACCTGAAAATGAAAATAGAATCAATAAAGAAAACACAACTGAGGAAATTCTGGAGATAGAAAACCTAAGGAAGAGAACAGAAAATATAGACCCAAGCATTACCAACAGAATACAAGAGATAGAAGAAAGAACTTCAGGCACAGAAGATACAAGAAACTGATACATCCGTCAAAGAAATGTTAAATCTAAAAAGTTTCTGACACAAAACATTCAAAAAATTTCTGACACTATGAAAAGACCAAACTTAAGAATAATAGGAATAGAAGAAGAACAAGAGCTCAAAGGCCCAGAAAATATTTTCAACAAAATCATAGAAGGAAATTTCCCTAGCCTAAAGAAAGAGATGACTATACACATACAAAAAGCTTTCAGAACATCAAATAAATTGAACCAAAAAAGAAAATCCTCCTACTACGTAATAATCGAAACATTAAGGGTACAAAGAAGGAATATTAAAAGCTGTAAGGGAAAAAGGCCAAGTAACACATAAAGGCACACCTAGAATTATACCTGACTTAACAGAAACTCTAAAAGCCAGAAGGGCCTGAGAAGATGTCTTGCAGTCTCCAAGAGACCACAGATGCCAGCCCAGACTACTATAACCAGCAAAACTTGAAATCACTGTACATGAAGTAAACAAGATATTCCATGACAAAACTAAATTTAAACAATATATATCCACAAATCCAGCCCTACAGAAGATACTAGAAGAAAAACTCCAACCCAAGGAGGTTAACTACACACAAGAAAACACAGAAAATAAAAAAAAAACTCACAACAGCAAAACCAAAAGAAATGTGCACATGCACGCACACACAAATACACACACTACCACAACCATGAAAATAAAAGGAATAACTGGTCTTTAAAACACAGAAAAGTAAAAAAAAAAAAAAAAAAAAAAAAACAAAAAAAAAACTCACAACAGCAAAACCAAAAGAAGTGTGCACGCCCACACACACAAACATACACACACACACTATCAGCACCATGAAAATAAAAGGAATTAACAATAACTGGTCTTTAATATCTCTCAACATCAATGGACTCAATTCCCCAATAAAAAGACAGAAACTATCTGAAAGGACACGAAAACAGGGTCTGCTACATACAACAAACACATCTTAGCAACAAAGATAGACATTACCTCAAAGTAAAGACCTAAAAAAAAGATTTTCCAAGCAAACAGATCCAAGAAGGAAGTTGAAGTCCATTCTAATACCTAACAAAATAGACTTATAAAACAAAATTAATCAAGAGATGAAGGACACTTCATACTCATCAAAGGAAAAGGCCACCAAGATGAGCTCTCAATTCTGAGCATCTATGCTCCACATTCATAAAGAAGCATTACTAAAGATTAAATCACAAATCAAACCCCACACATTTAATAGCATGTCCACACACACAAATGGACAGGTCATTCAAACAGAAACTAAACAAAGAAATAGAATTAACAGATGTTATGTCTCAAATGGACTTAACAGTTATCTACAGAACATTTCACCCAAACAAAAAAGAATACACCTTCTTCTCAGCATCTCATGGAACTTTCTCCAAAACTGACTATATACTCAGTCACAAAGCAAGTTTCAACAGATACAAGAAAACTGAAATAACCCCCTTATCAGACCACCACAGATTAAAGATGGACTTCAACAAAAACAGAGGGGAAAAAAAAAACGGAAAGCCTACAAACATTCATGGAAACTGAACAATTCTCTACTCAATGACTACTGGGTCAAAAAAGAAATAAAGAAAAAAAATTAAAGACCTTCTAGAATTCAACGAAAATGAATGCACAACATACCCAAACTTATGAGACACAACAAAAGCAGTGCTAAGAGGAAAGTTCACAGGACTATGCACCTTTATAAAGAAATTAGTGAGATCTCATACTTAACAACACATTTGCAAGCTCCAGAACAAAAAGAACCAAACACACTCAAGAGGAGTAGATGGCAAGAAATAATCAAACTCAGAGCTGAAATCAGTAAAATAGAAACAAAGAGAACACAAGAATCAATGAAACAAAGAGTTGGTTCCTTGAGAAAAATCAACAAGAGTTTAGTTAGCCAAACTAACTAAAAGACAGAAAGAGAATATCCAATTTAACAAAATCAAAATTGTAATGGGGGACATAACAAGAGACACTGAAGAAATCCAAAAAGTTATTAGGTCTTACTTCAAAAATGTGTATTCCACAAAACTGGAAAATCTAAATGGAATGGATGGAGAAAACACCATCCACCGAAAATATAAGCAAGTGTTTATAAAATTATGGATGGTAGGTAGCTCTGATAAGGATGGTTATGACAGATGGCAATGGATGGGGGCTGGGAGGTGAATGGTGAGGTTACTGAGACAGCACAGCCCAAGATAATAAGGCAATTATAAAATCTAACAGGTGTCTGTGTCTTATTAATTGTGATAGTGGATTAAATAATACCACCACAATAATTACAGGGATAAAAATAAATAATAACATATAGCCAACCATACCCTCATTTTTAATTACTACAACAGGACTGTGTGGCAGAGGAGTTGGGGATGGGAATGATTGAGGGAGAGAGTACTGGGAGAGGCAACCGGATTGGGAGAGAGCATCTCCGGTAAGAGTTAGAAACCTAGGACAATGGAAACTCCCAGGAGCTACGAGGGTGACCCTAGCTAAGACTCCTAACAATGGGGGATATGGGTCCTGAACTGGGCATCTTCTGTAGCCAGGCAAGACTTGCAATGAGGGATTGGGACACCAACCCAGCCACAAAACCTTACACCCACAATATGTCCCACCTATTGGTTGATATCCATAGGAGGCCTCCCCTTTCTGAAGAGAGGGGATGAGGGGTAGGCGGCAGGGGAGGTAAGAGGGAGGGACCAGGAGGAGGGAGGGAAAGCTGTGACTGAGATACAAAGTAAATAAATAACTTAAAAAGAAAAAATAGACACTGAACATTCTGCTCACTGGTGCTCTGTGGCAGGTAAACAAAAAACACCACCAATGTGAATATTAACATGATTTCTCTTTTGCAGAAAACTTAGGGTCCAACTAATGAGAAAAGGTTAGTATTCCCAACTGTTCCCAGCAACCATGCAAATAAAGTTAGTAGGACCACAGGTTATCTAGTAACAGAATTCAGAGACATTATCTGTAGTTCAGTTCCTACTCCTTTATAGCAAGTTCTCTGAAATCCACATCCTAAATTTAACATCCATCCCTTCCTTATATCCTTAAGTACTTTACTTATTGGGTAGCTGTTCTATATTTCCTGAAAGTGGATTCTCTGGATTTTATTTGATCCAACGTTTTATAAACTAAAAACGATAAGCAGTTTTTTAAAAACAAAAGACTAGATAATATAAGAATGTATTAACATATTATACATAGTAAGCATGTTATTCCATGAAATTTTTCAGTCATAAATATGGCATATGTAAAAAATTACAGATATTACTGTAAACTTACAGAAAAATATGTAAACAGTGGCCTAAAGTTTAAAAAGTCTTAACCCATTTTTCCAAAACATTAAGTATTCTTTTGCTTTGCTTAAAAGCTTCTAGGAGGCCCATTAAATACAGAATAAAGTTTGAATTCCTTTACATGGCACTTAAGTTTGTCCACAGTAACACTCGCCTAAGTCTTCTGTAACCCCATGTTCCAGACATGCTGCTCCTTCCACCTACATTAATATACCCACCCCCCTTTATTTACACTGCACATCCTATTATTTCAAGACCTGGGACAAACCAGAGGCAGGATTGTACCTGATTAAGTACCTTTGATTTTTGTATTTATGAGGCAGAGACAGGCAGAGCTCCAGACTAGCCAGAACTTTTTTCCTTGTCTCAAAAGAAAAAAGAAAAAAGAAAAAGAAGCAGCAGAAGCAGAAGCAGAAAAAGAACTTGCTTCAAGTCTGCTCCCAGAGGTCCCAAGACAGACTAGCATACACCATTTGCCCTAATCTGCCCAGCCTCTTACACTGTGGAGCAATTAATTCTCTTGGCCCTGGGTGAAAGAACACATGCTAGGCTTTCCTCATACTCACTGAGCATTTTTCTCAGACCTCCTCTAAAATGCTGGTGTTCCTAAAGGCTCTGTCCTTGATTATTTTACTTTCTCTAAATACTTGCACACTCTAAACCACACTTACAGCTTCCATAATAATAACTGGGGGGGGGGGGGGGGGTTCAAGACAGGGTTTCTCTGTGCAACAAAAGTCCTGGGTATCATGGGCTCAGTTTGTAGACAGGGATGACCTCAAACTCATAAGGGATCTGCCTGCCTCTGCCTCCAAGTGCTGGGATCAAAGGTATGTACCACCATTGCCTGGCTTGCATTATTATTTTTATGCCAAGATCTTCTCAAATAATTTCTCTAGAATAAATGTACTTCTTCGGAGGTACAAAAGGACAGCATTCTCTCTAAAATCCATCCACTTCTGTTTCCTACTGCCTGCATCAGAGTCTAAGTGCAAATCATCTTCCATCCAGACCAACTACTTTAGTCCTGGGGTTTCAATCAGTTTTTCTTTTCCATTTTCTACACACCAACCAACCACACAGATGGTTCAAAAAACAAGTTTAAGTCATGTCATCCTTCCTCTACCACACACACACACTAAACATCCTTTTTTTTTTTTTAAGCATGCACCACTCTCTGCTTTTTAAAAGATTTAGTTACGTAGACATATTTGACTGCTCTATCTGCACCTGCAGGCCAGAAGAGGGCATCACATTCCTAGTATAGATGGTTGTGAACAACCATGTGGTTGCTGGGAATTGAACTCGGGACCTCTGGAAGAGCAGACAGTCCTCTTAATCTCTGAGCCATCTCTCCAGCCCCACACTGAACATCCTTTAACGGCCTCTCACAGCCCTGAAAACATAAGTTCAAAATCTTTAGTAATGTCCACAGCACTGTCTATACTTCAGTGCAGTAGGATGACTTTTTCCCATTTCTCTGCAACCCATCTCTCCCTATTCCACCATTTATTCTATGCACCAGCTGCACTTCCGAAAACACCTCTTTCTCGTTCTTCTCCAGTACCATAGTAAGTACCAAATCTTCTGGAGTACTATCTTTGATCTCATAACTAGGTTAAGTACACTTAACCCCTACCAAAACAAGGTCTCCTTCACGAACAAGAAAATCCATTACTCTTTGTGACACAGGTTTGACTTGGCCTGTTGTTTATCTCCCCGTAGAAATTCCAAAGTATGAAGGCAGAGACCAAGTGTTCAACATTGTATGCCAGGGACAAGTACAATGCCAGCAAGATAAGACTAACAGCTCTGCATTCTGGGAAGCCAGCACCTGGCTGGGTAAACTCCAACACCTTTGTTTACATCTTCTGGAAAGTGAGGCGCCCTTCTGCTTCATAAACACAACTAGACTTCCTAAATAAGACAATTTCTATCCAAGCTGAGGACACTGAACAGGTGAGATCCACCTGGTTAGCAACTGTCCATCAGCTTTCCACACCACACATGCCACTAGAAAAACTGCAGCCTCTCTCTCCGACGAATGACATCTAGTGACTAAACAAGAGGGCATCAGAGTGGTGGAGACGAGATCAGACAGAAGTGACTGAAGTCCGAAGGTCCTCAGACTGTAACAAGGACAAAAATTTTTATTTTCCCACGTACCAAACGAGGTGGCGCTGCCTCTGTGCGGTCCCGCCCGCCCCGGGACGCAGGCTGGCGAGGACGATGGGACCCTGAACTGTACGGGAGCGTCCTTGGGGTCGAGAACGCGCCTCTGCCTGCCGGGGAAGCTCCGAGAGTCCGAGGCAGCCGGCGCAGAAGTTCCAGCGGCACCCCAGCGGGGCCGCTTGGTGCAGGGCTCACAGCCGGGGCCCGCACTCATGCTGGGACCCGCAGGGCGCAGTCCCCGGGCCGGCCCGGGCGGAGAGCCTCATTCACTAACCCTGACAGGGACGGACTGCGCCTCCTTCTCGGCGACCCCCGCACCATTCCCTCTCTGCGGCGGCCCGCTCTTGAGGCTGCTGCTCCGCGGGGACTGCGAGCCAGACCCTCCCTGCGCAGCCGCTTGCCTCCGCTCGGCCGCAGGGAGCCCACCTGCCCCGGACGCGCCACTTCCACTCACGCTCCGGCTCCGACTCCGGCTCACTTTCCCACCACCGGAAAGCAGCCGTCCCGCGCTTCCGACTTCCGGGCCGTACAGGGCCGCAAAGCGGAAGTGTGGTGCTTAGCGGGAGCCGGCGCCCGGAAGGTCAGCGTGTGAAGGTGGCAGTAGCAACGCGGGTCTTCCCGCTGTTGCTGTGGGGGCCACGGCCGAGCGCACGACCTCGGCCTGAGGTGGTGGTGGGAAGCCCACCGCGGCTTGCTGCGACGGCATGGAGGGTGGCGGAGGAGGCGGCAACAAAACCACCGGCGGGTTAGCTGGCTTCTTCGGAGCGGGAGGACCGGGTTACTCGCACGCTGATTTGGCCGGCGTCCCGCGTGAGTATCGGGCCTAGCTTGCTCCCCGTTCTTACTGCTTCCCGGGACAGCTAGAAATGTGTAGCGTCGTCTGTCTCTTTTCCTGCTCGCCTTCACAATGTTCGACGCCAGTTTCAAGACTGAACGAACTTTGGGGGCCGTAGATCGCCGGGAAGCTGGTTATTGACCCAGTTTCGGGAGGAAACACAAAATGTCTTCCTTGAGTACCCCATCCCTTCTTTTCTCTCACACGCTTTCCTCTGCGCTTGACCCTGGATTAGGAGGCCCTAGTTCTGGAAATAAACATTCCAAATAACAAGCCCGTTAATTTTTTTCCCCCCACGGGGTCTTTAAATTTTTCTAAATTCTAAGTGTCGGTTAGGCGAAACCATTTTTTTGAAACAATCCAAGAAACCAGAAGGAGCTGGAAAGTGAGCTAAAACTTTAAGAGATTTATAAACAAAAAAGCCAAACAAATTTTGAAAGGGAAGTAAACATACTCGAGGTTACGGAGGCATGAATACGCTGTCTGTTGGCACTCGATCAGGCTTTTAAGGTTTGGTAATTAATTCATCTGGATAAGTAGAACTTGGGCTTAAAGATAATAGGGAATTGATAGTGAGTAGCCCTTGCTAAAGTCAGTGTTTCTTCTTGCTAATCCTTGTGGTATTTCTCTAAACTCTTTATACTTAACATAAAGAAAGCTCTTCGATGACCCTAATGTCTATTGTCAAAACTGAATCCAGAACACACTTTGTGTGCATCTTAGGATTTCTCAGTTGCATGGAATGAAGGGCACTACTTACTGTGACAAAGTTTAGTGCTTTTATGGTGTATACATACTAGTGAGTGAACCAAATAACATTAACAACATTGCAGTTAGTGATAGATGTCATGAAGGAAATAAAATATGAACCTGAAATGATGGAGGTAGAAGCTACTTGAGATCAGGGAAAACAACTTGAGAGTTGACATTTGACCTGTGACCAGAATTTAGCAACAAATGTTTGAGAGACTAAACAAACTTGACATGTTTTTTGAATAGTTATTGGGTCTGTGTGTCTTTAGAGTTGCAAGAGAGTTGACTGATAAAAGATTATAATAGCAGAGAGGTAGGAAACAGCAGCAAATACAAGCTTTTATAAGCAAGGGTAAGGGGTTTGGCTTTGATCTAAGAGTAGATGGAAGCCATTAGGGCTGATTTCCTAGTTTCTACAGAGAAAGCAAATTAGTGAGAGACTGTGATATGGGATGTCTGCACTAGGTTGCTGGGTTTAACTATTGAAAAACTGAAATAACAGGACTTAGAATTGATGAACTTGAGTCATGCTTAGTTCATACATTGGTGAACAACCAACTGAGATACAGAAGGACCCAAGTCTTTGACCATTTTTCTTGCTAGATTATTTTGTTTTCAAAGTTGGTAGATTTAAAGTTTAACCTGAAAGGTTGTATGTTCTTTTCCATTAAGTTTCATCCCTGTGGTTAAAAACAAGGATTCTCCTTGTGATAGATAATAAAGAGATTCTGTTAGCAAAATTGTTAGCAGTGTGATTTGAAGGAACTACTTTGATTTACTTTTCCACAATCAAAGGCCCAGCCCAAACCATTGTTCTCCTTGAAAGACTGTCTATTCTTACAGTTTGCTTGCTTGTCATGCTAGTTAAAAAAGAAACTGCTTCTATATGTGGTCTGGTAGAGTTGGTGGGTATGAGCACTTTCTGCCAAGCCTGCTGACATATCTTGGATCCCTAGAACCAGACTGTCAAATGGAATGGGCTCCAGTGGGATCTCCCCACATGCACATGAGCGCACACAGACACACAAACTCATGAGTAAATAAATAAATGTTTAACAAAATAAAGCTGGGCTTGGTGGCGCACATCTGTAATTCCTGCACTGGGGAGGCAGAGGCAGGCAGATTTCGGTCAGTTTGAGACCAGCCTAGTCTACAAAGCGAGTCCAGGGCAGGATACACAGAAAAACCCTGTCTAGAAAAAAGCCAAAAAATAATAAAAATAAACCAAAACAGAAATAACTAGCCTGAGCTAATTTTCTGGGGGTTTCATGATTTAGTCTGTTAGTGCCAGTCTCTTATGCAAATTTAGGGCATCAGTGCAAGACCTAGTTCCTAAAGAAAATTTACCCTTGAATTTCACGCTTAGTCTTGAAATACCTCAAGAAATTTTGTTGCAATGTGACTTTTTTTTTTTTTTTTAATCTAGTAACTGGTATGAACCCCCTGTCTCCATATTTAAATGTGGATCCACGCTATCTCATTCAGGTAAGATAAGTATAAAGAAAAGAATCACAGTAAAGGTAATCTCTGTTTTAAAACTAATAATTGTCAAAACTTGAAAGACCGCTGTTTGGATATTTAAAGGAAATAAAGTTGATTTAACATCTAAAACTAATATTCCATAGCATTTTTATGTATAATAAAACAGGAAAGGAAAAATACAGGATAGAAGCCGTATGATTACCTCAGTAGATGGAGAAAAAGTATTTGGTTAAGTCGTAACAGAATTGAACTTTGCTTTTTATTAACTGACATCTACAGAATATCCATGGCTAATAAAAGACTAAATAGACGCCTCAAGATCAGGAACAGTAAAGGCATTTCCACTCTCTTTACTTCTCAGGCAGTCTAGCCAGTGTAACAAAAGAGTAAAGACTTAGTGTTGTGTGCCTTTTCGGTACTTATGAGGCAGGTAGAGCTCTTGAGTTTGAGGCCACATAATAAGACACTGTCTTTTAAAAAGAGAGGGAGCTACACATTGGTGACACACACCTTTGATCCCAGCACAGGGGAGGTGGAAACAGGCCACTCTTTGAGTTGAGGCCAGCCTGGTCTACAGAGCAAGTTTCAGGACAGCCAGGACTGTACAGAGAAACCCTGTCTGAAAAAGGGGGGGGGGTATCTAGACTGAAAAAGAATTTAAAATGTTTGCCAATGATACAATAATCTTAACTACAGTAATTTGAAGAAAAGCAAACCTGTTAAAATTAATAAATGAATTTAGCAGAGTTGTAGAATGTAAGACCTATAGACACAAATTAGTCTTGTTTCTTTACAGTAGCAATTAGGGAAATAGTTGGGGGGGGTGTTTGTTTACAGTTAGGATAAAAAGTTCCAGGACAGCCAGAGCTATTAAAGACCCTGTCTTTAAAAAAAAATAATAGATAATGGAAAGACATTCCATCATTTTGGAGAGTTTAGCATTGGTAAAATGGCTATACTTTCCAAACTGACCTACGTTTGATAGTGCAGTCCCTATCAAAATCCGAAGGGTATTGGGAGGAGTTGAAATTGTTCGTTCCCAGAATTCGTGTGGTGGTTCAAAACAGATAGAACTGATAGTTTTGAAAAGAAATGAATCAGATGATTTCTCAGCTGAGAACTTACTACTGCCTCTACTTTCAAAGAAATGTATGAATCGGTGCAATGAAATTGAGACCAGAAATCAACTGTCACTTTAGTTACAGTTAGTTTTTCAACAGGGAAGCTAAGGCAGGTAAGACAGGAAAATAGTTCTTTTTCCAAATTATATTGGACAACTAGAATGAATATGCAAAAGAATTAAGTTGTACCCAATTTCACACCATATGCAGTGTTAACTCAGATCAAACAGGTAAAGTTGTAAGCCTCTTAGAATATATCATAGGTATCAACAGTTGTGATTAAATTAGAAACTGAGTCTTAGATGGCCTGCTAAAAGTACAAGTAATAAAAAGAAAAAAATGACAGTTGAATTTAGTCAAAATTTATTTATTTATTTATTTTGTATGTGCTTAGGACAGTATCATCAAGAAAGGAACAAGAGGCAGGTATAGTGTTGCATGCCTTTAATCCAAGCACATAATAGGCAAAAGCTGGTGGATCTCTGTGAGTTCGAGGCCATCCTGGTCTACAAAATTTAGTCCAGCACAGCTGGGGCTGTACAAAAAAACCCTGTTGGTAGGGAAAGAATCAGTTAGAAAATTGCATTGAATCTGAATAGGCATGTCTTCATGAAATCATACAAATGTCCATAATCATATTAATTAAATGTAAGCACAAATGAGATGCCACTTCCCATACACCAAAATATAGATACTATATTGGGAGACTAGCCAGTTGCTAGGAAGAATGCCAGATGATGCATGTGCTAAGCCAGGCATGGCGGTGCACACTGTAACCCTAGTACTCAGAAAGTGGGGTCCAGATTTCTTTTCTGGAGGAGGAGTGAGGTCTCACTGTGTCGATCAGGCTGGCATTGAATTCACAGAGATCTTCCTACTTGTGTCTTCCAAGCGCTGGGATTAAAAATGTTTGCCACCATTCCTGGCTGAGCTTTAGATTCTTGAGAATTGTCCTGTCTCAGAAAAGGAAAAAGAGAGAACTGCTTCGAACGGTCTGGCATTTTCTAAAAATATGAAAAACAGTTATGACCTGGCAGTTTAAATACAAATTCAACTTGAAGATTATAGACATCTTAAACCTATCTTTAGATGAGGCATCATTTGTAGTTTCTCTTACTAGTCGCTTTTCATTCTAGGTTTCATTTCTCTTCTATCAGCAACACAAGATTAAGACCATCTCAGAATGTCTCCCCTGTATGCAGTTTATTAATCTTGTTTCTTGTTTGTATGTGAATTACTGTACACTGTCTCCAACCCATGTGGTGTTTACTGTGGTTGATACTGCTGAAGAGTGAGTGAGCTGGTGTTCTTGG